GGGGGGGGGCGCTTTGGCCTACCTCACTACTTCCTTCCACTCAGACCTAACTAATGCTTTTCCTTTCTATGCTTGGATTCCCAAGTGTTGTATATCTTTTTCCACACAATTCATCCATCTCAGCTTAGGTCTGCCTTTGAGCCGTTTTTCTCTGGGGTTTTGGTGAATCACCTTCTTCACTCCTCTGCCATTTGGCATTCTCTCTGTCCTGCTCACTTACCCTGGCTTTTTTTTTCATTTCTGCTACTATAGAGAGATCCTGATATAGACTGTACAATTCGTGGTTGATTCATATTCTCCATCCAAATTCATCCTTTGTTGGTCCATATATTTAACTGAGAACCTTTCTCTGATGTTTTTGTTAGGATCCAAGTTTCACTTGCACATGTTACAACTGGTCTGATTAAGTTTCATAAATAGTTTTCTTTGTTTCTCTTGTTATGTTTTTACTTTTGAGTATTTTCTGACTACTGAAGTATGTTCTGTTTCCAGCAGATATTCTTTCTTTTTTTTTTTTTTTGAGTAACTCGCTTCTTTTATTTTAATAAAGCTCCTAGGTATTTGAATTGATTTACATTTTCAAAAGTCTGGTTTCTAATTTTAATGGCTTCACCTGGCTGTTCTTCTCTTATCGTAGTCATGTATTATTATTTTTTTAACCTCCAACCCTCCTTGTATTCTGGTGTGTTCGTTGCTGCAACCATATACTGGCATCTGTGCAACGGTTGGGGAAGCGATGTTGCTATTCTAACAGCCCCCAGCAGATGCAAGGGCAGCCTTGATGCGTCTTCTAATTCAATAAAGGATTTTGATATGTCTTTAATTAATACTTTTCCCTAGCAGTGCTATGTCATCAGCATCTGCAAGATATTGAAGGGGTTGATGGTAGAGAGTCAGTGGCGTAGCGACGGTTTTTGGCGCCCGGGGACAAGATTCGCGCCCGGGGACAAGATCCATTTTTAGCGCCCCTTTTTTTTTCAACTCTCAAACCCATTATTTTCATCAATAAAATAATATCAAAGCACATTTTGGCGCCCCTAACTAGCTAGCGTCCGGGGACATCTGTCCCGCCTGCCCCCACCACGCTACGCCTCTGTAGAGAGTGCTTATTGGTTGTGGGTCTTGGGTATAACTCAGAAAGTATGCTGTTATTGTTCTCCGTGTGTCAATGACAATATGTATGCTTCTTATAGCTCTCTAATGTTAAGTTAAATAGCATACAAGACAGTGAGTTTCCCTCTCTTAGGCCGCGTCTAATCTGAAATTCCCTTGAATATTCTCTTTGAACCTTGATTTTGCGGAAAATTACATTTTTATAAATGAAGTAAAAATAACAGGGGGGTTGGGGGGGGGGGGAATTGAAATTAATTAGGACAATTATATTTTAAAAAAGATATTTATATATCATATTATATCGCGCCCCTTACTTCCCTAATTTTTTTATTTTAGAATTATCTTTGAACCTTGATTTTGCGGAAAATTACATTTTTATAAATGAAGTAAAAATAACAGGGGGGTTGGGGTGGGGGGAATTGAAATTAATTAGGACAATTATATTTTAAAAAAGATATTTATATATCATATTATATCGCGCCCCTTACTTCCATAATTTTGTCAATTTAGAATTTAAATTGTACTCTTAGCTTATGTTTAAAAATGTGTGACGCAGATGTTACTGTTTATTAATTATATATTACTATTAACTTTTGCAGAAAATACTTGAAAATAACGTAATGGATGTTGAGCATTTTTTAGGGAAAAAAATTAAAATAAACAAGTGTGTTACTTAAAGTTTTATTTATGTAGGCCTACATAGACGTGCGTCGATTCTAGAACTAATTGATACGCGGGGGAGGGGTGGGCGTTCAGATAACAGACCTCTCCCGTGGAACAAAAGACGCCAATGGAACAAACCACCTTAACAGAACAGACCAGTCCGATGGAACAGAACACGCCAATGGAACAGGCCACTTCAATAGAAAAGAAAACGTCAATGGAACAGGCAATCTTAAATAGAACAGACCAGTCCCACGGAACAGACAAATCCCATAGAGCAGACCACTCGCATGGAACAGACACTCCCAAGGAACAGACCACTCCCATGGAACAGACCACTTTCATGGAACAGACCACTCCATTAGAGCATGCATAGGAGAGACAGGTCATCACCTTGGAGAACACCTTTAAAACATCAATAAACAATACATTTGTCCCATGTCTAAGCATTTCAATAGTGCTAACAATATTGGAATGTTAAAATCATAAAGTTATTTACCGTACCGGTATATATACTTCGTCTATTTTGCATCGACATGAGTAGTAGCCTTCACTTGAGCTGTACTTTCACTTTAAGTGAGGGAGAGTTGCTCAATTGGTCAGCCTCATTCTCTCGTCCTTGCCTATCTGATCCAATGGCAAGACTTCGTCAAGATGACTATAAATAGACCAGGATGCTGTGGATGATCAGCAGTGTTTCTGTGGGTCTTACTGTGCTGTTATGCGTTCCACATCGCAGGAGTTGTCGGAATGTTCATAGCGCCCGCGGAATCCCATCTCCGGGGTTTAATTTCAGAGTAAACATAATACATTGTACAAAAAGCATAATAAGTACAAGGGCATCTTTACAGTAGGGAGGGGTAAGAAGCAGATGTTTCCGAACTGAACTGAATTAGGATCTGGGAATAAATCCCCCCCCCCTCGCCAACCTAAGAGAAAAAATATTTAAAAAAAAACAAAAAACTGTCGATTTTTTAAATGTCTCCAGGTAACTAAATTAAAATGGGAAAAGAAAAAATAAAAATTATTAATTGTATAAGTATAAGGTGCTTGGTACCTGCCGTACATAAAACAGCTCTCACAGGGTTGCCGGTTGTGATATTTCACAGCCGGAAAATTAGGCAGAGCCAGGGTAGGGATCATGATTACAAGTTGCCGGTGACGGGTATGAGGCCAGAGGCGAGGGTGGTAACCTCTGGCCGAGGATTCAAATAATGCAGCCCTGAGAAAGCTGCCCCTAGGCAACCGTTTCGTCCCAGCTACAGCGCGAGCTAGTTGCGTTGTGGAAACCCACTGTGGAATCCCTCTTATAGGGCGTCCGATGCTTTCCCGGGATGGGTGGGGGAAGATATTAGGACGTAAATTTTCCATCCCAACTCCTAAAGAAAGTCGATCGTGTGCACTGTTTAAACGCATAGGGTCGGACCGACCGGATGCCTACTGTTTGGGGCGGCCCCCAGGCGGGGTCCTGGTCGAGCGCTTAAGCCGATACGTTGGGCCGGGGAGGGGTGATTTGAGGGGGGGGGGCAGAAAGAGTGCAAACTCGCCCCGCTGACGCCATTTCTTGATGTAATAATTGTATAAGTATTAAATAAATTAATTATTTATATATTTTTGTTTAATTTTTATGTATTATTTATGTATTTATTTATTTTGACAAAGCGGCGAGATCGCCAGACCTGTGATTTTGGTTAACAGAAAAAAGACACAGCTTAACAAATAGTCTGGGCTTTGCTGGTTATTGAACTCCAATCCAGCTTTTTGGAATCGGCAAATTTTCACCCACATAAATAACTAAAAACTTAAAGTATTAAACCTGACAAAGTCATTATAGTCAAACTAAAGTTCATTGTTTGAACAATCATTTGATCATTTTGGGTTGCTGGATGGCCGAGTGGTCTAAACTGTCTCAAACCAAATAGCTGGTGGTCTCGAGTTCAATCCAAAGCCAACATCCCAAGCCCCCCGAGTGGATGGGACTCGTTATAGCCTTGGACGGCAACTCAGCTAAGACCAGCACCCAGGGTGGATGGAACTCGTTATAGCCTTGGAAGGCAACTCAGCTAAGACCAGCACCCAGGGTGGATGGGACTCGTTATAGCCTTGGACGGCAACTCAGCTAAGACCAGCACCCAGGGTGGATGAGACTCGTTATAGCCTTGGACGGCAACTCAGCTAAGACCAGCACCCAGGGTGGATGGGACTCGTTATAGCCTTGGAAGGCAACTCAGCTAAGACCAGCACCCAGGGTGGATGAGACTCGTTATAGCCTTGGACGGCAACTCAGCTAAGACCAGCACCCAGGGTGGATGAGACTCGTTATAGCCTTGGACGGCAACTCAGCTAAGACCAGCACCCAGGGTGGATGGGACTCGTTAGCCTTGGGTGGCAACTCAGCTAAGACCAGCACCCCGTGTGGATGGGACTCGTTAGCCTTTGTCTGCAACTCAGCTAAGACCAGCACCCCGGGTGGATGGGACTCGTTAGCCTTGGACGGCAACCCATCTAAGAGAAGGCAAACTCTGAATTTAAACCAGGAGCCAGAATGATCAACAAATTGATAGTGAGCCCGTCAAATATACGAAGAAGAAGAAGATTTTCTGGAAAAAAAATGTAAACAGTTATTGAACAATTAATAGCGTTTTGTTAGCATTATTGAATAGTGAACAAAGTTCTTACGTGTCAATAATATTAATGTTCATAGTTAAACCTCGAAGTATATTAGATGCAAATAATACCATGACCCCGCCAGAATGGACCAAGGTCCAGCGGGGAGGGGTTTGTTGGAGAGGGGTGATCGACGCCCCTGCATGTGTATAAGGTAGGATCACACTGTATTCAATTCATTATGTCTTCAAAGCTGACTTTCCACCCGCGTGTTGGGTGATTCGAAAAATAGGTATCAAGCCCCCCTCCCCCCCCCAGGGACCCCCCCTCTCCCAATTTGTTCGTCGAATCAATCGATGCTCTAAAATGTAAACTTGCCATGTCATATGCCATATTCCCTTGGTGGTCTTTATATTAACATTCAATGTGTTTAAACACATCATTTCGGATCTTCGTACAACGATATCATAGGCGTAACTTTGCATATGAAGTGAACTTCTTTTTTTTTTTTTTTTTAAAGTATATTGTATAGTTTATGATAAGTTTAAATGGTTTGCTTTTATCAATATTGAAGATAAGTTATTTAAGACCGGGAAGTGGAATACCAATTTCAAATATAAAGCTTACATAGAGTTACGTCAGGTCTCATAACTGATTCAAACAATATTAGATTTAATGTGGCGATAAATCATTATAAACTTGGAACAATTAGGTCCGATCAAGAGTAAGTATTTCTTATTCAGGACTGAGTAGTTGGGGTATCACGTGACATTCTCATGAGTTGTTGATGTTCTCTATTCAGGACTGAGTAGTTGGGGTATCACGTGACATTCTCATGAGTTGTTGATGTTCTCTATTCAGGACTGAGTAGTTGAGGTATCACGTGACATTCTCATGAGTTGTTGATGTTCTCTATTCAGGACTGAGTAGTTGAGGTATCACGTGACATTCTCATGAGTTGTTGATGTTCTCTATTCAGGACTGAGTAGTTGAGGTATCACGTTACATTCTCATGAGTTGTTGATGTTCTCTATTCAGGACTGAGTAGTTGAGGTATCACGTGACATTCTCATGAGTTGTTGATGTTCTCTATTCAGGACTGAGTAGTTGAGGTATCACGTGACATTCTCATGAGTTGTTGATGTTCTCTATTCAGGACTGAGTAGTTGAGGTATCACGTGACATTCTCATGAGTTGTTGATGTTCTCTATTCAGGACTGAGTAGTTGAGGTATCACGTGACATTCTCATGAGTTGTTGATGTTCTCTATTCAGGACTGAGTAGTTGAGGTATCACGTGACATTCTCATGAGTTGTTGATGTTCTCTATTCAGGACTGAGTAGTTGAGGTATCACGTGACATTCTCATGAGTTGTTGATGTTCTCTATTCAGGACTGAGTAGTTGAGGTAGCACGTGACATTCTCATGAGTTGTTGATGTTCTCTATTCAGGACTGAGTAGTTGGGGTATCACGTGACATTCTCATGAGTTGTTGATGTTCTCTATTCAGGACTGAGTAGTTGAGGTAGCACGTTACATTCTCATGAGTTGTTGATGTTCTCTATTCAGGACTGAGTAGTTGAGGTAGCACGTGACATTCTCATGAGTTGTTGATGTTCTCTATTCAGGACTGAGTAGTTGAGGTATCACGTGACATTCTCATGAGTTGTTGATGTTCTCCATTCAGGACTGAGTAGTTGGGGTATCACGTTACATTCTCATGAGTTGTTGATGTTCTCTATTCAGGACTGAGTAGTTGAGGTATCACGTGACATTCTCATGAGTTGTTGATGTTCTCCATTCAGGACTGAGTAGTTGGGGTATCACGTTACATTCTCATGAGTTGTTGATGTTCTCTATTCAGGACTGAGTAGTTGAGGTAGCACGTGACATTCTCATGAGTTGTTGATGTTCTCTATTCAGGACTGAGTAGTTGAGGTATCACGTTACATTCTCATGAGTTGTTGATGTTCTCTATTCAGGACTGAGTAGTTGAGGTATCACGTTACATTCTCATGAGTTGTTGATGTTCTCTATTCAGGACTGAGTAGTTGAGGTAGCACGTTACATTCTCATGAGTTGTTGATGTTCTCTATTCAGGACTGAGTAGTTGGGGAATCACGTTACATTCTCATGAGTTGTTGATGTTCTCTATTCAGGACTGAGTAGTTGAGGTATCACGTGACATTCTCATGAGTTGTTGATGTTCTCTATTCAGGACTGAGTAGTTGGGGAATCACGTTACATTCTCATGAGTTGTTGATGTTCTCTATTCAGGACTGAGTAGTTGGGGTATCACGTTACATTCTCATGAGTTGTTGATGTTCTCTATTCAGGACTGAGTAGTTGAGGTATCACGTGACATTCTCATGAGTTGTTGATGTTCTCTATTCAGGACTGAGTAGTTGAGGTATCACGTTACATTCTCATGAGTTGTTGATGTTCTCTATTCAGGACTGAGTAGTTGAGGTATCACGTTACATTCTCATGAGTTGTTGATGTTCTCTATTCAGGACTGAGTAGTTGAGGTATCACGTTACATTCTCATGAGTTGTTGATGTTCTCTATTCAGGACTGAGTAGTTGAGGTATCACGTTACATTCTCATGAGTTGTTGATGTTCTCTATTCAGGACTGAGTAGTTGAGGTATCACGTTACATTCTCATGAGTTGTTGATGTTCTCTATTCAGGACTGAGTAGTTGAGGTATCACGTTACATTCTCATGAGTTGTTGATGTTCTCTATTCAGGACTGAGTAGTTGAGGTATCACGTTACATTCTCATGAGTTGTTGATGTTCTCTATTCAGGACTGAGTAGTTGAGGTATCACGTTACATTCTCATGAGTTGTTGATGTTCTCTATTCAGGACTGAGTAGTTGAGGTATCACGTTACATTCTCATGAGTTGTTGATGTTCTCTATTCAGGACTGAGTAGTTGAGGTATCACGTTACATTCTCATGAGTTGTTGATGTTCTCTATTCAGGACTGAGTAGTTGAGGTATCACGTTACATTCTCATGAGTTGTTGATGTTCTCTATTCAGGACTGAGTAGTTGAGGTATCACGTTACATTCTCATGAGTTGTTGATGTTCTCTATTCAGGACTGAGTAGTTGAGGTATCACGTTACATTCTCATGAGTTGTTGATGTTCTCTATTCAGGACTGAGTAGTTGAGGTATCACGTTACATTCTCATGAGTTGTTGATGTTCTCTATTCAGGACTGAGTAGTTGAGGTATCACGTTACATTCTCATGAGTTGTTGATGTTCTCTATTCAGGACTGAGTAGTTGAGGTATCACGTTACATTCTCATGAGTTGTTGATGTTCTCTATTCAGGACTGAGTAGTTGAGGTATCACGTTACATTCTCATGAGTTGTTGATGTTCTCTATTCAGGACTGAGTAGTTGAGGTATCACGTTACATTCTCATGAGTTGTTGATGTTCTCTATTCAGGACTGAGTAGTTGAGGTATCACGTTACATTCTCATGAGTTGTTGATGTTCTCTATTCAGGACTGAGTAGTTGAGGTATCACGTTACATTCTCATGAGTTGTTGATGTTCTCTATTCAGGACTGAGTAGTTGAGGTATCACGTTACATTCTCATGAGTTGTTGATGTTCTCTATTCAGGACTGAGTAGTTGAGGTATCACGTTACATTCTCATGAGTTGTTGATGTTCTCTATTCAGGACTGAGTAGTTGAGGTATCACGTTACATTCTCATGAGTTGTTGATGTTCTCTATTCAGGACTGAGTAGTTGAGGTATCACGTTACATTCTCATGAGTTGTTGATGTTCTCTATTCAGGACTGAGTAGTTGAGGTATCACGTGACATTCTCATGAGTTGTTGATGTTCTCTATTCAGGACTGAGTAGTTGAGGTAGCACGTTACATTCTCATGAGTTGTTGATGTTCTCTATTCAGGACTGAGTAGTTGAGGTAGCACGTTACATTCTCATGAGTTGTTGATCTTCTCTATTCAGGACTGAGTAGTTGAGGTAGCACGTTACATTCTCATGAGTTGTTGATGTTCTCTATTCAGGACTGAGTAGTTGAGGTATCACGTTACATTCTCATGAGTTGTTGATGTTCTCTATTCAGGACTGAGTAGTTGAGGTAGCACGTTACATTCTCATGAGTTGTTGATGTTCTCTATTCAGGACTGAGTAGTTGGGGAATCACGTTACATTCTCATGAGTTGTTGATGTTCTCTATTCAGGACTGAGTAGTTGAGGTATCACGTGACATTCTCATGAGTTGTTGATGTTCTCTATTCAGGACTGAGTAGTTGGGGAATCACGTTACATTCTCATGAGTTGTTGATGTTCTCTATTCAGGACTGAGTAGTTGGGGTATCACGTTACATTCTCATGAGTTGTTGATGTTCTCTATTCAGGACTGAGTAGTTGAGGTATCACGTTACATTCTCATGAGTTGTTGATGTTCTCTATTCAGGACTGAGTAGTTGGGGAATCACGTTACATTCTCATGAGTTGTTGATGTTCTCTATTCAGGACTGAGTAGTTGAGGTATCACGTGACATTCTCATGAGTTGTTGATGTTCTCTATTCAGGACTGAGTAGTTGAGGTATCACGTTACATTCTCATGAGTTGTTGATGTTCTCTATTCAGGACTGAGTAGTTGAGGTATCACGTTACATTCTCATGAGTTGTTGATGTTCTCTATTCAGGACTGAGTAGTTGAGGTATCACGTTACATTCTCATGAGTTGTTGATGTTCTCTATTCAGGACTGAGTAGTTGAGGTATCACGTTACATTCTCATGAGTTGTTGATGTTCTCTATTCAGGACTGAGTAGTTGAGGTATCACGTTACATTCTCATGAGTTGTTGATGTTCTCTATTCAGGACTGAGTAGTTGAGGTATCACGTTACATTCTCATGAGTTGTTGATGTTCTCTATTCAGGACTGAGTAGTTGAGGTATCACGTTACATTCTCATGAGTTGTTGATGTTCTCTATTCAGGACTGAGTAGTTGAGGTATCACGTTACATTCTCATGAGTTGTTGATGTTCTCTATTCAGGACTGAGTAGTTGAGGTATCACGTTACATTCTCATGAGTTGTTGATGTTCTCTATTCAGGACTGAGTAGTTGAGGTATCACGTTACATTCTCATGAGTTGTTGATGTTCTCTATTCAGGACTGAGTAGTTGAGGTAGCACGTGACATTCTCATGAGTTGTTGATGTTCTCTATTCAGGACTGAGTAGTTGAGGTAGCACGTTACATTCTCATGAGTTGTTGATGTTCTCTATTCATAACTGAGTAGTTGAGGTAGCACGTTACATTCTCATGAGTTGTTGATGTTCTCTATTCAGGACTGAGTAGTTGAGGTATCACGTTACATTCTCATGAGTTGTTGATGTTCTCTATTCAGGACTGAGTAGTTGAGGTAGCACGTTACATTCTCATGAGTTGTTGATGTTCTCTATTCAGGACTGAGTAGTTGAGGTATCACGTGACATTCTCATGAGTTGTTGATGTTCTCTAAAATATCGTTTCATATATTTTATAAGGCATTTTATTTTATATACAAATCTTGATATCTTTAAACGATTCTAAAGATTCCCGTGCACTTTGTAAACAAACAAAAAAGTTTAATACGTGCAAAGTGAAAACACCCAACGTAACCAAAAAAAAACTAAAAATGACATTTAAAAAAAAAATATTTGCCCTCCGTGTCTTGTCAAGAGACGATGGTTTAATCTCGTTGGTTAGGCCTAGTAGCTACACTTCAAAGTCTAAGTAGCACGTTGTTGTTTTTTTCTTCTCGGAACCTTTTCTGAATCCATGTTTTCCCTCGGCTACTATGTCGCATTTTAACTCTACTCAAATAATCCATAAACTTCATTATTCGAAGACGCCGTCTAGTGAACCATTTGTTGATGCTTTAGCAAAAAGTTATCACTAAATGAGTTACTGCTAGGCAAAGAGTCGGACTCTAGGCTATCAAAATTAATGTGAAATAGAAAGAAAAATATTTTTTTTTTTACAATATTTGGTGGCTCCGCTGTAAGAAAGCCTCAGCTGAAGAACACGTAGTGGTGCACGCTTCTCCTTCTCTTGGCAGTAGCATTAAGAATTTAGTCACGTTGATAATTCATTGCGGGTTTTTTCTTTCAAATTTAAAATTAAAAATCATTTTTTTTATGATCCTATATTGAAGCAATGCCATGACAATGATCTTATATTGAAGCAATGCCATCTCAATGATCTTATATTGAATTAATGTTATGGCAATTTTCTTTTATTGAAGCAATGTTATGTTAGTGATCTCATATTGAAGCATTGTCATGCCAATGATCATTTGTTAAAACAATGTCATGTCAATGATCTGATATTGAAACAATGTCATGAAAATTATCTTTTATTGAAGCATTGTTATGTTAGTGATCTTATATTGAAGCAATGCCATGTCAAAGATCTTATATTGAAGCAATGCCATATCAATGATCTTACATTGAATTAATGTTATAGCAATTTTATTTTATTGAAGCAATGTTATGTTAGTGATCTGATATTGAAGCAATGCCATGCCAAAGATCTTATATTGAAGCAATGTTAGGGGAATGTTCTTTTATTGAAGCAATGTTATGTTAGTGATCTTATATTGAAGCAATGCCATGTCAATGATCATTTGTTTAAACAATGTCATGTCAATGTTCTTATATTGAAGCAATGCCATGACAATGATCTTTTTGAAGCAATGTTATGGCAATGTTCTTTTATTGAAGCGATGTTACAGCAATGTTCTTTTATTGAAACAATGTTATGTTAGTGATCTTATATTGAAGCATTGTCATGCCAATGATCATTTGTTAAAACAATGTCATGTCAATGATCTTATATTGAAACAATGTCATGACAATGATCTTTTATTGAAGCATTGTTATGTTAGTGATCTTATTTTGAAGCACTGTTTTGTTAATAATCTTATATTGAAGCACTGTTTTGTTAATAATCTTATATTGAAGCAATGTAATGTCAATGATCATTTATTTAAACAATTTCATGTCAATGATCTTATATTGAAGCAATGGCATGTCAAATATCCTTTATTGAAGTAATGCCATGTCAATTATCTTATTTTGAAGCAATGCCATGCCAATGATCTTATGTTGAAGCAATGCTATGTCAACCAAGTCTGTGCACGTTCCTGAATGTGACAATCCACTTTGTGAGAAGTTTCTAAGTCACCTTAATGGGGAATACCAAGCTCTTGGATTTAAAACTGTAGCGTACCCTTCTTGTAAGTATTTCAACAGGAGCAGACCAACCAAACATTGAACATCCTTTCAGCATCGTTTTTTTATTTTTAATCATTTTTTTCCAACATTTAAATCGTTGATAGAAATTTTGTAAGTAGGTCAATCGGTTGAAAAAAAAAATAATACGGGAAAAAACAAACAAATCATACAATTTCTTAATTTAAAAAAAAAATAATAATAAGACTCTTGGAAAATAAGCAAATCCTTTGGCGTGACTTGTCAGACATAGAAAAAGGGGGTGGTGTGGGTAGATTTGAAATGAGGAAAGAAAAAGATCTACATGAATTATTTAGGTTGTTTAGCCTGGGAATGGAGATGATATTTCAGGTGTTTATTTCTGTGCTAGTGTAACACACTCTCAACGAAACAAAACAAAATAAATAATGGACTTACGTGGGTATGGCTGCGATAAAACTTACGAGATTAAAGCAAAACGCCTTCTTCACCCACTTAACTTACTTATAATAAATAATATATGTATAGAATAAACAATATTAATATTACAATTAAATCCAATAGCAGATAAAAAGCGATATTTGTGATGCATAATCCAATTTTTAATGCATTGTTGTTTTTTTTTAAATTTCAGTTGGCCCATTTAGCAAACATTTCAATGAAAATTATAATCAATGTACCTACACTACAATACACAAGTGCCCCAAACTGTGGAAACTTGTAAGTCCCAATAAGGGGCCATCCATAAAAGACGTCCACCAATTTTTTTCTATTTTTTACCCCCCATCCCCCTTTGTCCACTTTTTTCTTTACCTCCCCCCCCCCCCCATGTCACTGTTTTTCNAGTTGTGGACGTCCAAAACATAAAATTTACCGAACTTAAATTAACGAACATTTTGGGAAAATGTACAACAATATAAAGAGTATATATTTACAAAGATTTTTTTTAGAAATTCCAATTATTTGCAGGCAAAATTCTAAATGAAATAACAACTGTTCAAAAACATTTTATTGAATCACTGCATTAAAAAATGTAATAAACAAATAATCCACCATTCTTCAATCAACGGAAAATTCGGACTGCAGCCATTCAAACATGTTTCGTATAATTACAACATCTGTTCTTGAGTCTTCAATTGCTAATTCAATTTGAGTGGCAGTCTCTTCGTCTGATTCGTCTGCCATATTATGTTCACTAGCAGGAATATTGCAATGGACGACCTTATGTTTTGTCATTGCCGCCTGTGATGGGAAATATGTACAGCAGAAACATTATTCTCTTGGAAATTCTTCCAGCCACCGATGGACAATAGAGATCAAACGGCATGCTACTGTAACTGTGATCGGGGAGTAAATTTGCAGTAAATTTATGAAAAACTGCTGCACTCAAAAAAACACTACAATGTGGACATCCACTTTGTCCTAAACCCCCTCCCCCCTTTGTCCACTTTAGTCCACTTTTTGCTGAACCCCCCCCCTCCCCCCTTTTGTGTGGACGTCTTTTATGGATGACCCCTAAGTATTACAAAAGTAGCATATTTATTGTTCTATATGCCATTAGTGCTTATTTCATAACTTTATATTGACGTAGACTCTTAAACGAAAAGTTAATATGAATTAAAACATTTCATCGAAAAGTAAATATGAAATTAAAGCTTTCATCGAAAGATTAATATGAATTCAAAGATTTCATCGAAAAATTAATATGAATTCAAAGATTTTAGCTGCGAGTATTTTACACATTGAAAAAAAAAACATTGCATCAAAGTCTTTACAGATTAACGGGCTTAAGAAAGACTTGTCCGGAGCCGTACTAAAGAACTCAGAGATATCCGTTGAAAAATAGAAATCTTATCAATAGAATTCTGAGGAAAATCTCACCGTTTGTGATGTCTTCTTGTAAGTTCATTAGCGGCCATCTCTCTTCTCCAACAACAACGAAAACTAACGCGTCACGTCCCATTACACAATTACGTCACAACACTCTCACACAAACGATACAGCTACACATAAAATCTTTAACTAAACATTTTTTCCCTATCAAACATTGAAACAATAATCTACACATAACAACGGTGATTCTCATACCCTTGACAGCTTCCTCTCGTCTCACACTCAACTCTGACTGTCTCGGTTGTCTCTCTTTCTCTACTGTCCAGTCCCGACTGTCCACGACTCATGTCCGGCTGAGCTCTACCCAGTCCCGTCTAACGGTCCTCGAATTTGGTCGTGGGGTCTCTAGCGATTCCTGCCCTGGGCTCTCCTATTTCTACATCTCAGGTACTTAAATTTTCCCTCGGTCTAAAGGGTCATCAACTTGCCAGTACTGTCACAGTGAGGGGTCCTCGTTGCCTCGCCCCTGTGCCTTCTGACACCACACGACAGTTGTGGACGGTGCGAGTGTGTACTGTCTAAGTTCCCCCACCCTCGGTCTGCCTGGACAATACTCTGACCACCGGGCTCTACATTCCAATGTCTTGATTCTACCACTGTTACCGTCAAAGTCGTGCTTCCTTCGTCCGTGTGCAATCTGAAACGCTGCGACAGTTGGTCAGTCATCCTCCTGCGGGTCCCCCCCCACCCCTATACCACCCAGGTCGACTATCCAGGTCTGGACTCTCCACAATGCCTGGACTCTCCACAATGCCTGGACTCTCTACAATGCCTGGACTCTCCACAATGCGTGGACTCTCCACAATGCCTGGACTCTCCACAATGCGTGGACTCTCCACAATGCCTGGACTCTCCACAATGCCTGGACTCTCCACAATGCGTGGACTCTCCACAATGCGTGGACTCTCCACAATGCCTGGACTCTCCACAATGCCTGGACTCTCCACAATGCCTGGACTCTCCACAATGCCTGGATTCTCCACAATATATTTATATGAAATATGGTTCTTTATTGATCAAAACAGCGTGTCTTCTTTCACCCGTTTTGTCTCTACAACTCCATTACTACTGCTAAACAATAAATATCCAACAACGACATCTCCGATACCCAAATACGTCACAAACACATAGTAACAGCTACACAATTAATCTCAGCAACAAAACACGCACCCATAAAAAAGCATGATCAAATGATCAGCACACATCTGAAGATAATGAGCACACGATACGCTTCATGAACCGATGTTTCCAGCATCCTTGAGCAGCATCTGATTTTTGTCCATGGGCTAGTTTGCCTCACAGAGAATCATAGTCTCATTTAAACATAAAATAGTTGACATTCTGAAATTCATAATGGCAAAACTTTTATATGAAAAATATTTCCGTTTTAAAAAAAAAAATCATTTTAGTATTTTGAGTTAGTAAAAGTTGTAAATTTTTAAAAAATGTGTTCGTAAATTTAATTTGACTGAGTTGACAACTTTAGCATGCCCTCCCTTGAAACGGTGTCAACTTATTATTTGAACACGCCCATCTTGAATCTACGGTAACAACTAAATTTTATGTATCACTATTGCCCTTTTATATATTCCACGGGAATGCTACCCGGAAGATTAATACATTTTGTTATGATATCCTACCAAGAAGGCCCTAACGACCGTTACAAAAGACTGCACAGTGCGGTGGCATTCTTCAAACGTAGGTGTGTTTAGTGCCATTGGTTTTGTATGGTTGTCTGCAGGGCCGCCAGGAGGATTATGACATGCCTGAACAAGGCTAAAAATGCCCCCCCCCCCCAAACCGGCGACCTACAAAACATGGACACACCAATCAATGATGTCAAAATGTAATCATTACATTCAAACATAATTTGCAAATGTATTAAAAAGCGGACGGGTGCTTTGGTATTGTCAATACCTTGGCTTTGTGAATACGTTGGTGCTGTTATTACCTTGGTCTTGTCGTTACCTTGGTCTTGTGAATAAATTGGTATTATGAATACCTCGGTCTTGCTGTGGCCAACACATTTTAAGACAACGGAGGTGGGACAAGGGAGGTAATAACCCCAGTTGTTGTCCCTGCAGCATGTATTTCGGCTTTCAGAATTTAATGAGAAAATGGTTAATCCTTCTAAACTACACGATGTTCTGCTCCTTGGCGAATTGTTGAGTTAAAGGTTTTTTTTTTTATTCTCATTTGATGAATCTGAATAATTTTTAATGACGTGTTGAAACGTGGATGTCTTCTCCAAAATAGTTCAATGTGACATTTGATTTCTACACAAATACGTCACTAATGCACTCTTTAATACTTCGTTTTACATTTAAAGTTTTAACCCTTAGATAAAAACCGATAGTATCGATGTCTCTGTAACCCTCATATAAATACCGATGGTATCGATATCTTTGTAACCCACAGATAACTACCGATGGTATCGATATCTTTGTAACACACAGATAAATACCGATGGTATCGATATCTTTGTAACCCACAGATAAATACCAATGGCATCGATATCTTTGTAACCCTCATATAAGTACCGATGGTGTCAATATCTTTGTAACCCACAGATAAATACCGATGGTATCGACATTTCGTCCTTGAATAAATCAGAGAAACTTGCAGTGATTTCCTTCAGTGCCGAAGTCCAACCTGATAATGGCGATACCAGCTGGTCTGCGGCATTTGATGACTACTTTAAATGCTACAGAATTCAAGACGCCTCAGATGAAAACAAAATAAATTCATTCATTAAAAGAAAAACATCCATGGTCCCAGTCAGGAATGAACCCCAGGCCTCCGCAGACAAGAAGGGACCAGACATTGCACCAAGGAGTCGTAACGGGGCTACAGACCCGAAATTTGTATACTCTGAGAACCTGCACAGTTATGCAAACAGCAGGTTTGACGAGAAGGACGTTTTGAGCAAGCTGCGTGATTTGAGACAGGGTGAGGCTGGGAAGGGCGACAACTGGCAGATGTCACCTTACCCGGATGAGTTTGGTCGCGCGAGCGGTCAGAGCGTGATGGCAAGGTCACCCGATAATGAGAGTCTCCTAGAACGTAAGTGAACTTTGAACGTTGAGGATCTATAAGGGACTGCAGATGGATGCAAAAGAACACGATATTTGTGGACAAATAAAAGGGAAATAATAATTTTTGTTATATTATATATATATATATATTTTTTTTTTTGCATGAAACATTACCAGCAGGTCCCTTGCAAAGTCTTATGCAGGGATGGGTGATTGAAATAATTAAACAACCAGTTTTCTTTGACCTAATAAAAGTTTTCTGTTTATATAAATTATAAATCAAAAGTTACATAGTTATTTGAGGAAATTAATATTTAAATGAGAACAATATAACAGAGGACCACATAACTTGTTCATGCTAACTTCTTCAAGAAATGGGTTTAATATATTAATTACCATCAAATGCTAAATGATATCTGACCCAAAAAATAAAAGCTGTTAATAAGATATTTCAATAATTGAAAAACTGCTAGTTAGCCCTCATTTCAACAAAACAAAAAAACAAAAAGGTATCAGTTCATTCAAAAAAGTTTCGAGCCTCTAGTCAAATGGCGTATTGTAGTGACAACGCTGAACATCACAGTTTTAAGATTAGTGATGAATTACGACATGAAAATAATAGGAATAGAGTTAAAATTATGAAATAACCATTTGCATCTTTATACAAATCTTAAGTCATGTATCTATTTTAGCGAGTTCCTAATTTCTAAAATAGTTGACGACATAACCACATTCACGGAATTAAAGGATCTTGTCAACGTAGTGTTGGACGACCCTGTCAGAGCTCTCCCCAGTAAAAAGTTTATTTTACAAAAGGTGACTAAGTAAATGATTACATTGTTTAAATATGTTACGATCTTAGAAGGAAATATTTTTTGTTGCTTACACACTTAGAAGGACATAGCTATTGTTGCTTACACAACTAGAAGGACGTGGTTATTGTTTCTTACAACCTTATAGTAATATTATTTAAAAAAACACCTAATAACAAAGTTTTTCTTATAAATCTTTCATAAAATGTAATAGCGAGCAAAGGGGGATGAAAATCTGACAAGACAAGCATTCTAGTAGCGTACTTTATAAGAATCCCATTAAATTAGTGCTCTCCTCTTTTCTCCCAATTGCACATATTTTTAATGCTCCTGAACCATATTAATATTTTAATGATCCACCACTTTTACACCTCAGATTTATTTCATCAAAAAGCTTTGAAAAAAAAAAGAAGAAAATATTGCGCACCAAAAGCACTTGAGATATTTTTTTAAAAATAATCTCATTTATCGCAGTTATCGATGAATAAAAGTCATTACCATGGTTTTAGACTTTAACAATTGCTGGGTTGTTTTTTTTTTTTTTAAAATCAGTACCAAAGTTGTATAAAAGTAAAGGAAGAAAAAAGTGCGTGTCCCGATTTTCTTATCGTTCTACGTCCACGGGAATAGAAAAATGCTGTGCCTAAAAAGCCCCCCTTCCCAGTTCTTTCATACGTTAGTGATATTGACTGATTTAAAAATATAAAAAAACGACATAAAAATATGATACTTTTTACCATGTTTTTAGAAACTAAGGAAGTTCGAGGGGACAAAATTATAAACTATGAAATTTGATATTAGCATGAAAATCGTCCGTTGTGACAGATAGTGGTTTAAAATTTTTTTAACTTTTAGAGAGCGCTACCAACAGTATTGACATAGCAAATTTTTAATGCAGTTTAAAAAAAAAAAAATAATAATTAATTTTCTATATCATAACTTTGGGCCCATTGAGACGAAACTGCTCTGCTAGGGACAGTGACGTTTTAAGGCAAGTATGGACAATGGGGACTGGCCCAGAAGCAGAGCCTCATGTTTCTAGGGGGCCTTGCGCTTCTAGGAGACTCACTCTTTTAGAGGAATCATGTTTCACATAATGTTTATTAATATTGAAAGATTTTGGTAGTTTAATTTGATTTAAAAGTCAGTGGACAGCATGTTTCCCAATTTTAACCCACGAAATTATCTTCAAATTTCACAATGATTATTATAAAATGCGATTCTCAAGTTGGAAACATTGATACATCTTAAAAGGGCATAATTCACGTAAACAAGTTTTACTCCTGCCAGATGTGAATCGAAAAAAAGTAAGAATCTGTGTTTACAATCATTTTAGACAAAGAAGTTATTCGTTAGCTCTGGGCGGTAATAAACCTAGCTACACCACTTCTCAGTAGTGAAATATAATAATTGATGGACTGCATTCAAGTTTTGTAAATGAAATATAAGAACAAGTTATGTTAAACTTGAATTAATAATTATGCTCTAATTAGTCTAATAGACAGGACAATATCAATAAGTCGTTAAGTATAAGATTTGGAAGTTTTGCCTTAGACTTAGACTTAGAGCCTTCTTTTTAAGCAGTCAACCAAACTGGAACTAGAGAGCGCTTACAGTAATCTAATCCAATGGTGGCAATGTTCGGCAACCTGATCTTTCTCCTGTAGCTCTTTGATACGATCAGTTATTTTGGCTACTAGATCAAAATTTAATATTTGGCTCTTTGATATGAAAAGTTTCCCAATCCCTGATCTAGTCTTTATGCATCTTCTACAAAACAATATATAGGGTGGGCGAATAAACGTGAGAACATTTCGTAGCGTAATATTTTACGAGATGTTCTCACTTTTTTTGGCCCACCCTGTATTTTTGTAACTGCAAATTTTAGAAAAACCTACATAACTTTAAAATGCAAATTAGTAATTATTATACTATACTTCTATAGTCTAATAATAATTTTTTTTTTCTAATGAACAACAAAATATTTTTTAAAAATAATGTTTACATTATTTTATTGATGAATTAGTTAAAATAAATGGTAAAAATTTGAAAATAAAATTATGAAACAAAATTACTCTTTAGATACAAGTATAAGTATATGGAATGGTGGAACTCACACATAGTCAAAGGCTAAAAGGGAGCCTTTAAAGTATATTTCAACTAGCATCTTCTCTGTTCTAACCGGTTAAGTGTAGAAGGATGCAAAAGTAAATTCATGTATGTGCCCAAATGCATCCCATCATTTTGAATATATTAAACATTTTCTGCGGTGGGGCTTAATGGGACCGGTCTCCAAATCTTACCTCCAGCTTCATTCGGGGCCCTCAATCTTTTTCCACCCCAGTTAAAGTTACAGTACCGACTTATTTTAATGTCTAAAAAGTGCTGGATGTAAGTAATTACAATAATTTTTATGGACGGACAAAATTATTTGGACTATAAAGATTCTAGAAACAAAACTAAGCTGGGGCTTAAAGCACACCCTCAGGTGACTCCACTACCAGAATGAATTTATGTATGGAAGTGGCGATGAAATGAGAGCTGGTCATGTGCATTAAAATTCCCAATTTCGGTGCTGATAGATGCCCTGCCCATCCTTACATGATTTCTTAAAATACTTGCCCCGCAGAAAAATTACCTGAAAGAAACTTATCAAAACGCATTGGCCAAACTAGGCCATAATGCTTTTCATTTTCATAACATTACTTGATTAGTATGCTATAGACAGAGACATTCACAGGAAGAGGGGTGCCTAGTTAGACGATTCTGCCGCCCATGTCTTTGTTAATTACATGGGATTTTATCGTTTAATTCACTATTAAGGGACTATCGTAAGAAAATTTTGCAATACCATGATGATGGTGCCAGGAGTGGTTTGTCCTCTCGCCCCTTCCTTCACATGGCTCTGAGTAAGGCCTCAGTGCATTACTGTGCCCAGGGCCTCTGCTGCTGTAAAAACGGCCCTGGCGAGGGACCTCCTTTTCTACCTAGTTCATCCTAGTTGATGAACTAGAGGTGAAATCATTTTCTTTTAAATTGTAAAAACAAAAGGAAAATCATACAAGTTAGATGTTACAAAAAACAACTTGTTTCACCTATTTTCTTGTTTTTCTTTTTCTTTTAGGTGCTACCAGAATTAAATAACTCTAACCAGGTGTATGGTATTTTAATTTTTGCTACGTGTGCTGATCTGGTTACACAGAAGCGTGCCATCAGCTTATTGGAGCTACTATTACTGCGGGGAAGGTTGGCTGCACCACAAGTTCATATGAGTCTCCTGGTTTGCATAATTTTTTATTTGTTTGTTTGTTCAAACTGTAAATGGAACATGTAAATTTGTTAATGTAAGCTACATGGTTACGTCCTATTAACTTTGGATAGCTGCGAAACAGATAATTTTTGAGTTGATTTACTTTAAAAAATAGATCTAGTGTAATTTCGTTCTTTAAAAAATATATATTTGCATTTCAGTGATTTTTTTCATATTTGTATGTTTTAACAAATAAATTATGTCTAAAACAATATTGTATATGCCTAAGCATAATTTACTTATACTTAAAGATGAGGCTTTAGTATAAAACTCTTTTTCAGAAAAATATGCAGACCAAACTATTGGAAAATATATGTGCAATAATTTCAATCAGGTAATTAGCAAGCAAATAATAATGTATACCATACATTGCAAGTACACATTTTTAAAAAAATATGCTCAATTTAAATAAAAGATGAGGTGGAAGGACATTTAACAATTTTTAAGCCCAAAAGTCAAAACTAATTTTCTAATCTTCAATTTTTAATGAGGTAGACAGCCTGTTTTAATTAGATTGACAAAAATTGTTTAATCCGGTCAAAAACTTGTTATAATTAGGTTGAAAACCTGTTTTAATTATGTTGACAACCTGTTTAAGGCATATGAAGGCAATTTTATTAATATTTTTATTTTGGGGCTATTCCATGAATGACATGCTATTTTGACCTAATTCCCCCCCCCCATCCCAAATATAGAAACCTTTATAATAGATAGTCACAAACTTGTGACCCTCAAACCCTTTAGGTGCATGACATCATTTATAGATGACCTCTTCTAATACATAACATCAATAATGAAAATGAGCTGTAATATTGATACTCATAAATTTTCTAAAAGTTTCTTTCTCAATAAACAGTTTTCTTCTTTTATCATCCCAAGTCTGTCCCTACAAACTGTATTTGTCTTACGGAATATTTTCAGAAGTCTGTCACCACAAAGTTGGTCAGAGAATCTTGAAATTATTTTGAAAAGAAAGTGTTGCTTGTTCCTGATGTTGCAAGGAGAGATGGTCATGGCCTGCCAAGGGACTGAGGACATCAGGAGCTGTGAAACATTTAACAAAGATATGAAGTAGGCTTAATTTAATAATTATTATAAATGAAGAAATTGACATTCTTTGATCACCCTGAAATGAAGCCGCCTATCAGCCTTAAAAAGCACATAAATCATTCATATTTTATTTAAACTTTGGGGTAAAGAGACGTGATAACATTAAAAGGTGTCTGTTTATTCAAACAGTTTTTGTAATTTTGTACAATTTTCTTCATGGAACTGGTTTTATTATATTTTTTTAAAAATGTTATTACAAAACTATGTTCTACCTTAATGTCTTTACTATATTTATTACCAAATTAATTAATATATTGTCTTTTTTTTTCTTTTTTTCTAGGTTTTGAAAAAAAAAATATCTTAATCAATTTTCTTTTCTTACAAAAAGGTCAAAGATTGAAACAGGAAATAAAAAATTAAAATCCTCAGAACATGTTGACTGTGTAAAGATTTGTCTAGAATTACCCCTGGATCAAGTTCTTAAAGGCACCACCAGCTTTATGACAAAAATAGCAACTGAAAAGTTTTTAGTGGCACCTTCTGGGCTGAAAATAGAATTCTACCATGTATTTCAGTTGTTCAAGAAGGTTGGTTTACTTTTTGAAATATGGGAAGAAATGAATCCTACTAATGTGTATTTCAGTTGTATAAGAAGAATGGTTCAATTTTTTAAATATGAGAAAGAATAGAATTCCACCATGTATTTCAGTTGTTAAAGAAGGTTAATTAATTAATATTTATATGTTTGTTTTCAAAGATATTTTCAAGTTTAGATAGTCAAGTGATAAATATTCTAAAAGTGCAGCGAGAGATGAAAAGCAAACTTCTTTGGAAACAGTCATCAAGTACAGCCATTGAGCTGATACTGAGAGGATTTTCACACTTTCTCAACTACAGCTCCAGTAATTTTACACATTTTATCATATATTTTTTTTATAAAGATATGAAAATTAGTATATTTTCTTCAAACACAACAGTTATTAATCCATGCTTAAATGATATGCTAAACACTAGTAAATGCTATGCTACTCACTTGGGCTTAGATGCTTTGTAAAACAATCACTGCATATTCTGATTTTCATTATTATTTTTTATCAAAAGGTTATTTGCTGATTATTTGTAATATTCAAACAGAAGAGTCATCGTCTCAGTCCTTGGACACGTTGTGTACAGAGATCACACAAATCATTATTGCAAATAAAGAGAAAGACCAAAAAACATTCAATGATGTAAGTTTTATTTCCTATTGTTAGAAAAGTAGCTGTCAAAAGAGGATGGGGGAAATAAATTGATGTGATTTTTAAAAAAATAGTTTCTCCTATACTAGTTCCACTTGGAAGCTGTAGTGACGATATTATTTATAATGTGAAAATAACTTCAATACATATTGCTTGGCTATCTATTAAATAAACCCTATTAAAATATCTATCTTAATGTCACCCATCTTAAAATAATTAGAGACTCAAAAATGTCACCCCCTTTTTTTTTTCAGGTGATACCAATGCTTCGGGCTCTTATGTTCAGGCCAACACCAGCCATCCGTCAGTGTGCAATAGACCTTTTCAAAGGTCTAGATTCCAATCCTGAATCATTCAGAATTCATCTGTTAGATGCCATAACACATTTGCTATCTCCTGTTTTGGTCCCAGATATAAATGATAAAAGGACATTGGTAAGAGCAAGAAGACAAATAGTTATTTTTAAAAACCCAACCATTTAAAGAGTGGCATTCAGCTCTATTTATTTTTATACTATGTTATATTTCCATTTCTATTGTTGGCTGAAAAAACGTTCTTGTTTTTTGTCCTGTTATCTTATTTCAAGCTTCCACATACCTCGTTTTGCTATTTCATTCATTCAGCTCTAGCAGCATGTTAATGTTACCTCACCTCATGTCTGTCTCATTGAGAAGGATTTTTTTGTACATTTGTTTATTTCAGCCACATGAAAAAAGTCGCAACGGATGGTTCAAGGTGTCTGGTAACTTCAGTGGCTACCAGACTGTTATTTCATTTCATGTACCACATGAGAAAGACCACAGGGAAATAAATAAATCAGATCTTAACGATTCACCACAGTTCCAACAGATAAGTGTGCTAAGGGAGCTAATGCATGACAACATTGCCACACTTTTTGCATACAACATTTATCACATCCCTCAGTACTATATTATGGAAGAGGGCAGAAGCCTTCAGGTAAGTTATATTTCTATGCATACACTGCGCAATGATATTATACTTTTTTTTTTTAAGTATCTTTTTGTATGACATTTTAGTCTCGTAAAAATGGAGTTATAATTAAAAATAAGAAGCTGTATTGCTTTTCAGGCTTACAATTTCAAACCTTCGCCACCTGATATAAGTTAATAAAAGTCTTCCTATACAGAATCTCTTCAATTTTTTCAAAATCAATTCCCAGTGCAGTTATGATAGTAAATTTCTTTTAATAATTTGATCTCTTGTACCGGTATAGACATACATGACTAATTTGTTTTAATAGTTATTTCTTTCTTAAGATTTATTTTATAATATAAACTTTTTATTTTAACCATATTAGAGATTGAATGATTTTCTAAACATTAGTTTAGAACATGAATTATTAACTGTGTTCCAGGAACAGCTAGTAAACAGAAGTAACAATAAAACATATTTCTCAGAGGCTACTCTTTACAGTTGTCTGAATCAAGCTGCAGCTGCTGTTGAATACTGCCACAGTAAAAATATTGTTCATTGCAACATAACTACGGCAAGCTTTTTAATTATCGATTCACAGAAGTTAAAGCTGAGTGGCTTCCACTTATCCTTTGCTCTTAAATCCAATGAAGAAGAAAAGATTTATGGTAAGTCTCTCTCTTTCCATCTGTCTGTGTGTGTATCTTTCGCTCTTTTGCTTTCTTTCTTTCTCTCTCTCTCTATCTCTCTCTCTCTCCCCCCTCTCTCTCTCTCTCTCTCTCTCTGGCTCTACTGTAAATCATTAAACATTTCACAAATAACCAACATGATATATAATTATTTCACTTTTGGGAATATAACAAATTCAGACTTTATTTCCAAGCAAATTAAACCCAAAATACACAAATCAAAATTAAATATACACTTTGTTCTACAGATTCAGAAGATAGTAACATATTTAGAGAGATCCCAACTCTTTGGAGTGCTCCAGAATCTTTAAGAAGGTGCAGATTTTCACGACAAACAGACATATGGATGTTTGGTCACATGTGCTATGAGATTGTAACTCATGGTCTCTTGCCTTACTCTCAATTAGGACTGAGTGATGCCGATGTTCTGTTAGGGGTAGGGTTTTAATTATTTTTTTCAATTGTACATATACTTTTATAAAAAAAATGAAAAATTAGGTTTATTTGTTGTTTTTTTTAAAGTTGTATTGACATATAGGACATTTTAGGAAATTATAAAGACCATACAAAGAGTTTTGCACATTTGAAGATTTATCGAAAGTTTATTTATATTTTACCACCATTGCCATAATTAAATCATTCTTGTTTTTAAAACTCATAAAAAATATTGTTATCTAAAAAAAAAAGGAAACAGATCTTATTTTAAAAGACCAGCAGTGTTATTTCGTTGGCCACAAAGATAGAGTGAATATGTTTGTGTTTAAAAAGATAATAAAATGAATGTGCTGCCATCTTATGTGATCAGGTATTTAAGTCCGTGTATCAGCTGAGACATGAAAGTTGTATTGAAGAGGAGATATTTGAACATGTGATTTTACCCTGTGTTTGTCTGGACCCCTATCAAAGACAAAGTGTTTCTTTGTTACAAAAACGACTTTTTGATTTCCAAAAACGTAAGTTTTAGAACTTCATTAAGCTCTGGATTTGTATTATTTTCATTTAACATTCTCATAATTATACACATTTTAGAGTGGAGTTAATATCGTCATATAACATTCTCATAATAATACACATTTTAGAGTGGAGTTAATATTGTCATTTAAAATTCTCATGATAATAAACATAGAGTGCTGTAATTCATCATTTACCTATGGCGTTTCTGTTACCTTTTCCATACATCTTGTTTTCATTCAGGTCCTGAGTCAATGAAATGCTCAGAACTGAATTACCCTGATCTTAAAAAAAATCCAAACAAACCATCCACAGAATATACCAAGGTACAGTATAGACAATATAGTATAGGGCTGCTGCGTTAACATACTATTTAAGAACACTGATAGTCATTCTTGAACACCAAATTCTCGGCACTAGTTTTTTGTCCATCTTTCCTTTTTTTAAAACTTTTATGACAGTCTTTTTCTTTTAACTGTTAAATTTTTTAATTAGATTCAAATTCTCAGATTTAATTTTCATTCAGACTTTGGACAAAAAGTTTGTCTACATCTCTTCACCATCTGACCTCTAAAATATACAGCGTGGCCCAAAAAAAGTGATAATGTCTCTTACATTGTAATATAATTAAATTAAAATTTGTCTAACTGCATCCATAATAGCTTGAAGCCATTGAGAAGCGGGGGGGGGGACACACATTAAAGATGTTTTCTGATTAGCGTATTACTTGGCATACTTCTGTAAATGACAAAACATTATATTTATTAAATTACATTAAATGCAGCAACACTTTTGTACGAGATGTTTTCACTTTTTTTTTGGCCCAACATATACTATTAGTGTATGGTTAAATAGCTGAACAAAAATAAATGAAGCTATTGTTAAAATATGTTTTAAACTAAAAACTTGAATGAAATACCAGTAGAGTAAAGTAACAGTTTTAAAAAAATACAATTTTCCCATGTTACCGTATTAATAAAAATTCTATGTATTTTGCTATCTTTCAGGGACTACCTGCTGTTAATTGTGAGTAATGACAACTTTGTTCTTACGTGTTTGTTTCTTGCTTTCTACCTTTTAGATCATATACATGGATATCTATGTTTTTGTATTTGAGGTGCAAGGCCAAGAAATTCAGCAATAGCCCTCAGCAACACCAAGGAGTATCAAGCAAATTATTAAGATATATTTAAAAATGCACATGCACCTCAGTTAACCCCATCCCACTCGTAGACTATGTGATAGCCTCAATTCAGTAAAAGTTAAGTCAGAATCCCCCTCTCTCTCTCCCCCCGCCCCCCCCCCCCCCCAATCATCCCCCATCTCATCCATACCCATCATACCCATCTCATCCATACCCATCATCCCCCACTCATCCATACCCATCATCCCCATCCAATTCATACCCATTGTAAAGTTTTCTAAATACAAAGTTATATTTTCAATGCCACTGTAAATATCTATGAATCATGAATATAATAATAAAATTACTGATTTGCAAGATTTTTGTATTCTCCTTTGATTTTCTATATTTTTTTCCTTGAAAGTGATTACAGTATATAATTTATGTCATCATACAATTTTATTATATACTAAGTAACATGTGGAAGCCATAGAAAGATTCTAAGTCAAAATAGTTAAGCTTGAAATAGAACTTATAAGAAAATGTTCAACAATCAAATAACTTTTTAAAATCTCTATACAGGAATTGTGTTAAGATCTTTCTTTTCAATGAATAGAAAATCAGTTTATGTGTATTTTTTTTCTACTGAAGATGAGTACTTTACTGGAAGTAACAGGCAATATAAGAAGCATACAGATGACCTTGAACTATGTGAATTGGTAATTTTGTGTTTTTACATTATTGTTTATTATCATAAATGGGTAAGTGAGAAATGTTGAATGGCAGTGATTTTCAAGGGTTCGCTATTTCATATCATGTGAGCAGATAAAAAGCAAAACAAATTTTTTTTAAATTTAACCATGTATGTACTAGTAGTCAATCATTTGTCCAAGAAAATCCAATCCAAACTCTACCCAGAAAGAAAAATAATTAAATTTAAGTACTGGTATGTAAAGATTATCCCCAATACAGCTTTTTGATAGAATTGATGCTCTTTATTTTTAGTCCACTGTCATCTTAAAATATTAGCACTGTCAATGTGTCATATTCCAAAATGCACATAGTTTTTTTTCCTTATTTTGCAATCATTGCTCCCAGCAAGGGCTCAAGGTAAGTGCTGTTGGCAAAAAAGTCTTTTAGATTTAAAGACTCAATAACATCAAAAACATACATTATTTTTTTTTGTATTTGTTGAATGCAGTGCTTTCCAACCTGTTTTTTGTGATTTTGTGACACAACATACACATACTTTTTAAGACTTGAAAAATGCTGGAAATGAATTAATACAAGTTATTGACAAAGTGTTGCAAGTTTGCAACTGCTTGTTAATGAGGACCTCTGCTTTTTTTTTGTGTATACAAATTGAAGGATGCTTACAGGTGGTTTTTAGGAAAGTGCTGGTAATTGGAATGGAATTTGAAATCTAATTCAAAACAAGCCTTGTGCCAAAAAATTGGCATATCTGGATATTGCTAAAATATTTGAGAATTTTAATAAAATAAACACCAGCAGACCAGGAAAAAAGGAAATAAATGCGGTACCCTATATCAAATATTTGTGTTGTGCAGCAAAGATACTGTTTTGGAAATGGAAAGTGAACAAATCAAATTTGGAAAAAAAATCCAAAACAGTTGATTGTGAGCTAATTGTAGACCATTTGTCTATGCTGTTAAAATTTATATGTGGCCCTACTCTTAATATCGGTTAGTTTAATCCCCATGTTAATTGGTAAAACCGACTTACTGTGTCACAAAATAATGTACCAGTTCTAGTGCATCTTCAGGATGAAAAGTTTGGAAAGCGCTGTTCTAATGGAATATGTCAATATCATTTCAATTGGTTTATCTGAGTTTTTACTGCTATTTTTTGTAACTCCAATAGGATTATAAAATGACTGACCAAACAGCATTTACCAAATTACACGTTTGTAATGCTTCTGATTTTCATTTAAGTCCCTAATATTTAATGGCTGGATGTCAAAAGGGTCATCCATAAATCAATGACTCTTGTATCCATGGAGGATGAGGAAGTCTAAACTTTGTGAAACATTTTTTTTATTGGATGGGGGTTAGGGATTGGCCAACATAACCCTGTGTCATTTATGAATGGTTGGCAGTTTCTTCTGCTTTATATTGTCATTCCAATTCATCATAATAGCACCTTCTCATCCCCGGTGCCCGGTACTGAAGCTAGTCAGTAAAGAATCTTTTCAAAAGATGAAAATCAAACACTGTGCCAAGTTCCTTTTTAATGTCAAGACTTTTTGCCTTTCTAAATGTATTTATGTCTAACTTGTAAAAGTTAATTCATTTTAGTTATGCACATGTACTTAGTGTCTTTAAAGGTGAATTCACATTTGTTAAAATACAAGCAGTCTAACATACCAAGTATTTAATTTTTGAGTGAAAAAAACTTTATTTATTACTAGACCATGTCAGCTTAGGTTCCATTTATTTTTAATGGGGTTGTCATTTTTTCGTTGTTGCTTACTTGGCTAGGTTGATTTGTAGATTGTCCAGCAATTCAAATATCACAGACCATTCCTTGTTTCTAAAACTATGTAACTATAATATTAGCTACTCACATTTCACCACCTTGTTACAATGTTACAGAGAAATACAAAGCATCTGTAGCTCACCTCGTCTTTTTATATAGCTTGCAATGGTAAAATAGTTATTTAAAATAAATTTTCTGACAAATATAATTTTATTTACAGCCCAGCAAGGAGTATCTTTTAAAGCAACATGTGAAAGGACCTTTATCAAAGCAGCTTTTGGAGGAAATAGAAACTGGAACACTGGATGATGTTTGGCCATTTATTTCCTTTTTCCCAGCTAAAGGCAATAAATACACCTTTGTAAGGATGGCAGTGTACCTTTAAATGACCTATATGCTATGTTTTTCTCCTAATATTGTTTAAATTTAGTTTGATTAGAATACCATCATAATCTAATGTTTAGCAATATACTTTATCCTCTAGGAAATTCTAATGCCATTCCCTTATGTTGGTAACGTCCTGGATTTGGTCATGAAAAAAGATATAGCCAAAACAGAGCCTGAACTTAAGAAGTTGCTCTTTGAGATAGCCAAAATGGTGAACAGACTTCACGAGTCCAATTTTCTGGTTGGAGATCTCAGAGCTTCACAGCTTTACATAGAAAATGTTACTGGTGGATTAAAGGTATTTTCTCAGAGGCACATCATTAATTAAAATTATCTGAACCATTAGATTGTAGGCTGTAGGCCTACTCAAATCAATAGTGTATAAAATCAATGCATAAGTTAATATTAAGAAACAGAATTTAAAATAAAATAAAATTCTGTTGCTGTCCTTAAAGCCAAAAATATATTTAGATCTAGTCATCAAAACTGATTCTTTTTAAAATGTATAAATTTTTTCTTAATCTTATTGATATTAAGCTTACTTTCTCAAATTCGGAAGACTAATAAAAAAAAAATTAGAAAAGAACCTATTCTATGCTGTAGGGACAAAATATAATACTCATATTATATAACTTGATAACATACTAAGGCTGTTTGCTGCAGCTCTGAAATAGGCTGTAAAGCTGGCCAGGGCAACATAGGGCCCCCGGCCAACCCACTTTGCAGCCCGCAAAGTAAAGTAAAATTCTTTATTATTATTTTCTTAATAGCTTTTCCCAATGTCCTATTTTCTTTCGGCCCGCACAACTATTTCATAAAGGATTACGGCCTGCCTTACATTTTGAGTTGTGCAGGCCTGCTGTAAAGGGGTATAAAATACAAAACACCGGTACTTGAGGATAAATTTTGTTTAATTTTATCATATTTCACTAAGTAGTTCACTTTTTGATGTCATCCAAAAAAATTTATAGGAATTAATTGGAGGTTTCAAAGGAGCAATTAATTTTTTTTTTAAATAATTACTTATCTAATACAGATACATCCTATTTTCTTACCTCATTTGATTTTCACAAAAGACAAGAACTCACTTCCATGTAATCCACCTACTGATCCTGTGGCTTTAGCAAGGTAAATCTGATATTTTTATTTTATTAAGTTAATTTTCAGTTTTAAGCACCTTTGTATGAAAAAAATCTTTTTTTATTGTAACTGAGTGGAGAGATTGGGTGCTTTGTTCATGACACAAATTTACTCTGCTCCCAGAGCCAAAAACTCTAGCCATATAGAGTGTGGCAGCTTATAGTTTTAAATATATATTTGGTTTATTAACTCAAGAAGTTCTGAGAACTCTACTGGTATCGCTAGTCTGTTATTTATTCTTAACTTAGATGTTGTATAAAAAAGAGTAGTGGAAGAAAAATCCTAATTAAAGGATCCAAAGAAGAGGGACAATTTAAAACGTCCTAAAGCTGCCAGTAAACACTTTCGTACTTTAGGGAAACGATTCAAACTTTGAATACAAAAACCCATTTGCCCACTCACTATAAATAGAGTCGCATGGACATATCAGAGAGCAACGACATAAATGCCCCATTATGGTCATTTTCTTGCCAAAATAAGTTTCAAATTATTTCAAATAAGTTTAAAATAACCCCTTCCAAATAAATCTACTGCTTTAAAAAAATATTATAAAATTAATATTTCTTTCGCCCCCATTTTCATTTCTATGGTGGATATAAAAAAAAACTAGTAAGTTTACCAATGAAACCATTAAGCTTAACTCAGCAGGACTGCAAAAGTAATTTTCGGCATTAAATTATTTTTTATTTTTCTGTCCGACATCCCAATATAATTCATCATTAATTAAAACACCTGTATTTTAAATATGTTAAAAATTAAAGATAAGTAGAAATTTATTGTGTCATTTTAACTTTTAAAATAGACACAAATTTTCAGCTTTTTAAATTCTCTGATGATTGAAATAAATGATAAATTGAGCAGCTTTGTGTAGGAATCTAAAAATGTAATGTAGTTCTATACAGTTCAAATCTTTAATACAGTTAATATTTAGTTGTAAATTTCTATTTCATTTATTCCAGAGCAGCCCCTGAAGTGAAACAATCTGGGTTGTATTCACAAGCGAGTGATATTTTTTGCTTTGGTGTCCTAATTTGGGACTTAAAAGAGGCTAACTCCTGCGATATCCCTCCTTACCACATAAACGTCCATCATAAAAAAGGCTGCAAGTCATGGGCAGATGAGCTGGTAAGGTTTTTCATAATTTCTGTGCAGTTTTTTTTTTCAATTCCTAGTATGTCATTGGCCGGTGTTCAGTTTTTAACCTAACAGTGCTGTATTTCAGAAAACTGTACAGGAAGAAATAAACACCAGACATACATTTTACAATCTTGGACACATCTCCCCATTTGCATAGGCAGAGTCTACAGAAGGGGTGGTCCGCCCCGCGCTGAACCTTTTTTTCTTTATACAAAAATAATTTATACCGGTACCCGGTATCGAGAATCTTTTTTTGACCAACTGCTAAGTTTTTCATTTGTGGAAAGGGGCAGCAAAAATCTTTGCCCGCCCAATTTTTGTGGGAGCCCATGGGAGGAAAAGTTGTCTAGTAAATTAGGATAAGGTATCTGACAACCCAAGTACAATGTAGACAAAACATATTAACAGACACATTTTGATCAGTACAAGAATCTTGTCTGAATTAATGCATTATCATTTGTTTTATTACACAACTCCTTTACATAACTGTAGGAGCCACGTTTCTTTAAAAAATTACTTTCGTAAGTCTTATAATTATAATAATTTATTTATAATTGTTCATTAAAAAGATATGCTGCCACTAGCGACACCAATCTTTAGATATGGCACCTAAATATTACTCGGAAGAAAATTTACCCCCTGCCAGCATGTCTTAGGGCAAGGTTTCCCAACCTTTTTTATTTTCAGCTTACCCGATGAAATTTTAACCATGAGCTCTTCCCCCCCCCCCTGCCCCGAAATGTCTGGGTATCACTAAAACAATAACTTTGACTTTAGATATGGCACCTAAATATTACTCGGAAGAAAATTTACCCCCTGCCAGCATGTCTTAGGGCAAGGTTTCCCAACCTTTTTTATTTTCAGCTTACCCGATGAAATTTTAACCATGAGCCCTTCCCCCCCCCCCCTGCCCCGAAATGTCTGGGTATCACTAAAACAATAACTTTGGAGCTTAGAAATTATATCTGTGTATCATTATAGATATGGTACCGGTAGTAAAATTTAAATAAAGATACGGGGGAATAAAAAGTAATGCAAATATTTATAAAATTACTTAACAATAAAGGTTTCTATGTGCCGATACTGACAACCAATTGCTATTGCACACCTTAAAGTGCTCATTTGAAAGCCCTGGGGTGAGAAAACGGAAAACCCCAGTTGGGAAACCTTGTATTATGAGCTGATAATTTGACACTTTTGGCTAAATCAATTTGAAATTGGAACATTGGAGCCTCCTATGGGGGTAAAAGTTCATCATAAAGTAAGGACCTGAAACAGACCAGGTAAAATGTTGGTTTACTGAGGCTAAATAGGAAATAAGTGGGAAAATATATATCATAAGTACTGTTTCACAAAATTGTCGCAAACTATATATATATATATACACATATATATATATATAATTTGCCAGTCAATATCGACCAGGACCACATTAATCATCATATTTGTGCTGTGGGTGAGATGAAACTGATTCTGGCACGAAATGTTCTTGTGCAGTAAGTGCGATGAAACTGATTCTGGCACGAAAAGTTCTTGTGCAGTAAGTGCAGGGGATTGAGGGGACATCTCCATCTGTAGAGTAAATCTGGGCCTATCTGGTGTGTCTTTTGTGTACTGTAGCTGCTGTTATGGTGGGTTCATGTTGTATGGAGCCTTTGTGTTCAGAGGATCTCCATGATGCTTGACCCTTTGCCAATCCTTCCCATGTATTCGGGTCTATATCAAATGCTTTCAGTAAGGCTTTTAGATTGTCTTTAAAGCGTTTGTTCTGCCCACCACCAAACCACCTCCAATGTTTGAGTTCACCATATAATATTATTTTGGGCAAGCGGGCATCTCATATTTTCACAATATGTCCCGCCTAGCAAAGCTGGAACTGCATTAAAATGTTAAAGATGCTGGGGAGATCTGCCTGTTCGAGTACCTCAGTGTTTGAGACCCTGTCCTGCCATTTGATGTTGAGGATTGCAAACAATACAAAACAACAAATTAATTATTTTAAATTTAAAATCTGTTAATACTGCTGAAGAAGGCATTGAGCCAAAACGTCCTTTTGATTGATCTGTCTTTTTTTTCAAGCCTAAACATATCTTGTTCCTCTATTTACTTCAATGAATGCTTGAATGCAGTCTCCCCTTATACTTATATTATCCTAAATAGGAAATTAATAATAATAATAATAATAAAGTTTTTTTGAAAATCACGCTTCATCCCCAAAGGCTCGAAGCGCTGTACAAAGTCAACCACATTTTATTTATTTATTTATTTAGGCATTTTTATATAGCGCTTATCATAAAGCTCTAAGCGCTTTACAATTATTAAAACATGTAAACTAAGTAAATACAAATGAGACACTAGGATAGTAACTACTATTCTATAGAAACAATGAAAATGGCTATAAAAAGAGGACACTTTGACACTTCAGGATCAACCCGAAACAGAAAATGAGGTAGGGCAAGGAGGGTGCATCACAGGTCATAGGCGGACCTGAACAGATGAGTTTTAAGGGACTTTTTGAAAATGGACGAGGTTTCACTATGACGTATATGGAAGGGGAGCTGGTTCCAGAACGTGGGCCCATGGAAGCAGAAGGAGCGTTCACCGATGGTCTTAGTTTTAGTTCTTGGGATTGAGAGGGTTCTACTGTCAATGGAAGAACGTAGTTGTCTTGTGGGGATGTAAGGAAGCAACAGTTCAGAGAGATAGACAGGAAAGTGAGGGTCAGTGAACGAGTTGAAGCAAAGATTGGCAGACTTGTATTTGATGCGAGAGGATATTGGAAGCCAGTGGAGTTGCCGCATGTGTGGTTGAATGTGGTCATGTTTCTTTGATTTAAAAATGAGTCTGCATGCTGAGTTCTGTGCCTTCTGAAGTTTTTCTATGTGGTGTTGAGGAATGCCTGAGAGAAGAATGTTACAGTAGTCAAATTTTGAAAGAATGAGTGAAGAGACGAGAGTTTTTGTGGCATCAAAGGAGAGGAGGTGTCTAATGGTGCTGATTTTTCTAATTTCGTTATATGCTGATCTGCATATATTCGTGACATGTTTGTCCATGGAGAGGGTGTCCGTAAGCGTGACTCCAAGGTTTCTGGCAGAGGGAGAGAGTGTGATGTCAGAGTTGCCAATAGATATAGAAGAAGGAGCGAATGGAGGGAGAGGTTTGTTTTGAGAGTGGATGAGAAGGATTTCCGTTTTATCATCATTTAGCTTCAGTTTGTTGCAAGTCATCCAACGCTTTACATCGTCCACGCACTCCTGTATGCGAAGGATTGTGGCATCAAGTTGATCAGGAAAGCAAGAGTCACTGATTTGAGTGTCATCAGCAAAGGATTGACTGGAAACTGAGTGGTGGCTAATGAGAGATGATAGAGGTTTAGTGTAGAGGATGAAAAGGACCGGCCCAAGGACCGATCCTTGAGGAACTCCAATAGACAGGGCTGAAGGTTTGGAAGAGCGGTTGGAAATAGAGACTTTTTGAGTTCTGTCAGAAAGATATGATTGAAACCAGTTTAAAGCTGAGCCAGTAAGTCCGAAAGAAAGATGAAGGCGGTCAAGAAGAATCTGGTGGTCAATGGTATCAAATGCAGCAGAGAGATCTAACAGAGTGAGAATAGAGAGTTTGCCATCGTCCATCGCGCGCAGGAGGTCACTCATGACTCGGACCAGTGCTGTTTCTGTGCTATGACCAAGTCGGTAGGCGGACTGAGAGGAAGGATAGAGATTGCGAGAATGAAGATAGCCAGAGAGCTGAGAGAGTATGAGTTTTTCTATGATTTTTGAGAGAAAGGAGAGGTTGCTGACGGGGCGGTAATTCTTGAGTGTGTTTGGATCAAGTGAGGGTTTCTTTAGGAGGGGCAGGACAATCGACCGTTTAAAAATGGGAGGGAATATGCCAGAGAGAACATTAAAAGAGAAATAAAACAATCTATATTTTACCACATTGAAATACAAAATGCAAGAATACAAAAAACCACATACGAGCAAACCCATTCAAAGTCTTTAATCCCTTTCAACAATAATCAACACGAGCCAATATACATAGCTAGCTGGAAAAGATGGTAGACGACAACACACCAGCAGGTGTTTGCGAAATAGATGTGTTTTCAAATCGGTTTTGACGGACTCCAGTGTCTCGCTGTTTCTGAGAGCGACGGGAAGGGCGTTCCAAATTGTTTTGCCAGCAAATGCGAAAGTACGTAAGACTCAAGGCCAATACGCGGTATCAAGAGTTTGCCAGTATCGGATGAGCGGAGTTGCCTAGGGGGTACATAAGGCGTCATGAGTGCTTTGAGATAGCTAGTGAACATTAGGATTATCTTTTTAGGGTGTTTAGAAGCTGTTTAAAAAAATACACGGATACTGAACCTACATAAGGGAACTGGGTAATTCTATTTTTACTTTAGTTTGTTCGCTGATGAAGGAGTCTTGCTGGCACGTTCGTTGTTTTGTTTCCCTCATTTTTCCCATACCGGTACCCAGTCCCTCTTTTCCATTTTTCTAGCCTGATTGCAGCCTCTCCCTCTTATTGCCATAAAAACAACAAGGAGGTGCCTCTTACATGCAGAGAGATTCCTTAATAAGTTAAGAAAAGAAACGATTCTTTTATGATCCAAATGTAAGAAACTATTTCTTGTTTACATTGCATTTTCAATTTGAGCACATTTATAAATAAATATTCCAACCAAGACAACATTTTACAACTCGAACAATTAAAACCCAAAACAGCTGAAGTATTTCTTTAGCCTAAAAATCAGCCTTTATATACCATGAAAATTTTACTCACTGATTGAAAATAAAGATTTGATTAAAGTTTATAAGTGATCATTTAGATTTTGTAACAGCTGGGGGAGCATGTTTGTAAATTCTGATGGATTAGGGAACAAAATAATTTTGATATCTTTCGGTCTCAACTTTAAGTTTAAGGAAAAGAATTAGATCTGGTCGAGCTGATCCTAGGTTCTGTGACAAAGATGGTGGGATGCACCTTGCATTTTAAAAATTATTTTTACAACTGCATTTTTCTTCAAATACCTGTAGTATAGTTCTTCAAGCAAAGGTTGTGTAGTATGTGTGATATTTCTAGCTTTCTTGATTAGTATATTTAATGGATGTTTGATGTTAGATCTTCTTCATCTTCTTGTGCTGAAGCAAAATTTTATGAAGAATTGGTATTTAAAGCAGTACAAGGTTTTTGTGTTTTTTCCCACCCTGTAGATCACTTGACATGCATTACAATCATTGAGTGTGTGACATTTACTTTTTTAACAGGAAAGTAAGGTCAACCCCATTGACTCGAGGAGACCAAATGATATGAGCAATATGCTCTTTCAGTTAATGAGGCAGTGTCTTAATCTTGTTGACACAGCGAGACCATCAATGCAAAACATACTCAGGTAAGAATAGAGGCATGTAAATAAAATGAGCTTTCATTTTTGTCCTGAATATGAGCTATCATAGAGCTTCACACCTATCCATTCAGTCAATTATGTTTTTTAATTTGCTCCAGCACAACTCTCCTCTAAACTTAAAGCAATTATTATTGTTTATGTTTAGAAAAGGTTTACATCACAAAAATATTTGTATACTATTTTAGACTGAATAATTTATCTTTTTCAATTTTTATATGTTTACACATACCATACCCATCCCCTCCTCTATTTAAACATTTTAAAATAGCAGTTAAAATAGAAAAGTTTTTTCTTGTTCACTCAGAAGAGGAAAATTAGAAATAGACTGAATGTCCTGATGATTTTCCCTTTTTTATTTATTACTGATAAAACAACTATTTCAATCTTCCAGGGATTTATCCCCCAACAACAGTTACTGTGATGATTATCTAGCCAGTAAAACCTCAGATTATTTTTCAATGGGTTCTGATATTGGTTCTGATAAAGATGCCAGAAAAGGTCCAAGAAGATCGGGCAGAGATTGGCTTAATGTCATTAACAAATCATCACTGACTCAAAGTATTGAAGATGCTCGGGTAAATGGGGAAAGAATGCCTCAGGATCTCAATCCAGTGTATAATGAAGCTGACCATTACGAAAAATTGCTAAGTGGAGAATATAAGATGGAGAGTAGTTTCAGTGATTTCTGTCAAATTTCAGCAGGTATCACTCAGGATTCATCTGTGAATGATTTGAGTTCAGTTTTTGACATTCACGATTATGAGAACAGCCTGTCTAGTTACTCCGATATATATCTCGGTCCACCAGTTCTGACTGGTCTTCGTCCACCACCTCGGACTGGTCTTGCTCCACCACCTCTGCCTCCTAGAAATTATTCATTACAAATTTTGAGACAGCCTCCATTAACTCTGTCTAATTACTCAGATATAGATCTAGGTCCACCACCTCTGACTGGTCTTGCTCCACCACCTCTGCCTGATCATGGTCCACCACCTCTGCCTGCTAGGAATTATTCATTACAAGTTTTGAGACAGCCTCCATTAACTTCAGCTAATGACATGAAATTAGAAGGTGAAACCTCTCGACCAGCTCTGCCTCCCACAAAACATTTTGTTCAAGGCGCTCAGGATACATCTGTGGAAAGATTGAGCTCGCTTTACGTCAGTCATAGCCCCAGTGAGAGCAGCGAGGCCAGTAGCTTGAACACAGATCTGATTCCACCGCCACTGCCTGATAGGAAATATGCAACATTGAATTCCCTTGAATGTCATCAGAAAAAATTAGGGATTGAAACTTCTGACTCTCACCCAGTGCTGACTGCTACAACTAGAAGACACTCGGATAATCTTTACAGTGAGCTTAATGATAACCGAAGTGAAAGCCAGTATGAAGAGTTGCATCAAACACTTCCAAAAGAGATTCTTGAAAGCACACCAGCTGAAGAGTTGCCATCTGGCATTGATGAAAAGGATATTTACCAAGCTTATTGTGAACTATTTCCTTCGTTAAAACCAAGCTAACAAATGTAGATGTCATATCTGTAGAACATCGTAACATGTAGAAAAGGAACTAGTATATTTCAATTTTAAACATTCCATGCAATGTCACGAATTTCCTTCAATACCTTACACTGGGTTTTAGTCATATAATTAAGCCGTTTTTGTATTTTTTCATGAGCTTACTTTTCTTATGTACTTTTCTTACATTGGCACACGTTTTTTAACATTGACCCATTTTCTTACATTGACTATTGACACACTATTTTTACATACCCACTTTTCTGAAATTGACTCACTTTTCTTACATTGACTCACTTTTTTTACATACCCCTGTTTCAAACATTGACTCCCTTTTTTACATATGCCTGTTTCAAACATTGACTCCCTTTTTTACATATGCCTGTTTCTAACATTGACACACTTTTTTACATACTCCTGTTTCTAACATTGACTCACTTTTTTACATACCGGTACTCCTGTTTCTAACATTGACTCACTTTTGTACATACTCCTGTTTCTAACATTGACTCACTTTTTACATACTCCTGTTTCTAGCATTGACTCACTTTTTACATACTAACCCTGTTTCTAACATTGACTCCATTTTTATATACTCCTGTTTCTAACATTGACTCACTTTTTACTACATTGACTCACTTTTTTTACATACCCCTGTTTCAAACATTGACTCCCTTTTTTACATATGCCTGTTTCAAACATTGACTCCCTTTTTTACATATGCCTGTTTCTAACATTGACACACTTTTTTACATACTCCTGTTTCTAACATTGACTCACTTTTTTACATACCGGTACTCCTGTTTCTAACATTGACTCACTTTTGTACATACTCCTGTTTCTAACATTGACTCACTTTTTACATACTCCTGTTTCTAGCATTGACTCACTTTTTACATACTAACCCTGTTTCTAACATTGACTCCATTTTTATATACTCCTGTTTCTAACATTGACTCACTTTTTACATACTAGCCCTGTTTCTAACATTGACTCACTTTTTACCTAGCCCTGTTTCTAACATTGACTCCATTTTTACATACTCCTGTTTCTTACGTTGACTCACTTTTTTACATACTCCTGTTTCTAACATTGACTCACTTTTCTAACATTGACTCACTTTTCTAATGTTGACTCACTTTTTTTTATATTAAACACCTTTCTTTACATTGACACAATTTGTAAAATTGACTCATTTTCTGACATATAAATATAGGCTTTCTTAAATTCAATTATTGGGCATATGTATATATCATAAATTATTTATGGATGAAATGGTGGAAGAGGGCAATTTTCAGGCTTCGGCCCCTAGCACAGCCTTTTCTCTGCAAGTTCCTGCCTACCCTTGCTACAATGGGTCCCGGTTTGACCCCTTATGATAAGCTAAGTTACAGGGAGGTTTAATTGTGGAAACAATTTAAATTTAAGTAATAACTAGGAGATTATCAGATGAGTTCTAAAGTAAGTTATAATATAGTTTAACATATACTTTTTCTCGACATAATATCCAAGTCCAAGACATCTACACAGTATATATTTAGACATGTGAAAGATTATGTCCTCTAACTCTAACAATTTAAAAGGTTAAAGCTAATAATATAAAGTGGGCCATGCATGACAATATATAGGCATAGGCCTAAAGTTAAAGGCTAATGCTAACAAAGTAGTCCAGCCCTTGACCCCCAGTTGGGTCACTGGTTGGTTAGGTTGAGGCTGGGAAGAGCCTTAAAATTAAAAGCTTGTGAATAATGAACCATCCAAAAGTTTCTTTCTATTTGTTGTTTTTTCTTAATTTAGTCTTAAACACACTACTTTGTTTGATTAATGAATGCAGAGTTTAAAGTTATTGAATGCACACAACACTAATGAAAAAAAAAAAAAATTAAATTTGTACCAAATAAAACAGTTAATAAATGATTTTAAAAATCCAAGCCTTATTTTTCCATAACACAGACAAAGTTTTGATTGTTACAACATGCCACAACAATTCAGACCAAAGTAAATTAAAAACAAACCAAAAAAAATTGATTAGTAATTTAAATTTAAGTAATATTTTATTACATCCTTCAAGTCAATCATTCAAAAGCAACATTTGAAAACTCCATTTTTGAATTACAATTTTTCTAAATCCCAATAACACCTAGACAGTCTTAAAACATATGCCAGAGTCCTTTTCTTAGACTTCTCATCAGCATTTAACACTCTCCAACCACACCTTATGATAAAAAAACTTTCCTTGTTAGGTGTCAATTTAAATATTCAGGTTTGGATACTGAACTTTTCAACAAATCGACCACAATATGTCAAAGTAAATAACCAATTATCTCTAACCAGAGAAATTAGCACCGGGGTACCACAGGGCTGCATTCTCTCTCTCCTGTACTGTATACAATATATACCAATGATATTCAAAGCTCAAGCGACACCGTTCCAATCTTAAAATTTGCTGACCATTGTTGGCTTAATATCTGAAGGAGAAGGCCTATACCGCAACTTAGTTACATGCTTTATCAATTGGTGTGATGAAAATTTTCTCCAGCTGAATGTCTCAAAAACAAAGGAAATGGTTAAAACATTAACTGAGAATTTGTTTCAACTACTCTTGCATGAGAGTGAGAGGGGTAGTTTATCAAAATCACTTATGTTGAAATACAGAAATTTTATGAAAATATGACAATGGTAAAAATTGTGTTAGTGTAAGTATATTTACACCATAATCAATGCATTAAAACACCATAATCAATGCATTAAATTATATTATTTTGTACCTCTTTATGTATTAAAATTAACTAACAATACCTTGCATTTTCTTATGTTTTTAAAATGTGTTTATTGAAAATAATTTCTTTATTTGAAAACTTATTAAAATGTTTGGTCAATGTTTGTTCTTACTACCAAAAAATAATAAGAAATTATGCGTTAATTTTGTCCAAATAATTTGTGACAGACAATTGTTCCCATAAAGTTCAGTTAATGAATTAGTTAAATGGATACAGGTAATTATTTTTTATCTTGTTTTCTTACCCAAAAATTCAATTAAAAAAATATCTTCTTGATGATCAGGAATATACAATTTTTAATGCGTTTGATATCCCTAGAGTCATATACATAATTTTCTGAATTGTAGAATTAAAATATAAATAGTTTACAGTCCTTGTATTGGCTAAATGTAAGCACACAACAATATACCAATTAACAGCACACTCAACCAATCAAAACCCTGGAATGGTTCAGGGGTTAGTTGGTTAACTTGAAAACATCTAAACAAAATGCCATTTCAAGACTCTTTTCTGTGTTCATATCTTAACACCAATTTCAACTGCCTTCAGAAAGAAACTGTAGAGACCACCCAAAAATTATACATATATTTACAAAATAAAGCTGAATGAAGATAAAGAATTTTATAGTGCAATGTTTTGATATACCGGTATACCTTTATTATTATTTAAAACCATAGAACTTTCTAAATTGCTTTTATTGTGCTACAGTAATATGTTTTGCAGTTGAATAAAGACTCCAGAACAATATTTTTTTGTGTACTGAAGAAAAGAAAGAACATTTACTGATTTTCTTAGTCTTATCATACACAATAAAAGTAAATAGGTTCGCCATGCATTAATTTGAATTGGATGGCTTGACATTTTTTACAAGAGATAATTTATTAATTTTTGCAGAGCGGGCAAAAATTTGTCCTGGGTGGAGCTCAGTCCAACAAAGCCTGCTCCAAATCCCTGCATAAAAACAATATGCTTTCAGTGCTTGCCACTTCATAAAAAGATATGTTAATTTGAATTCTTATTTTGACCAACAATGACTTGCGATGTAAATTACAGTAATTACAGTAAATTAATAAGAAAAAATAATCATTATTGGAGTTAACTGTTCCCTTTTCTATTTAAAATAACCTGAGGTTATGCAGGCATGTTGTTATCCCCTGAGTAGACAAAGAATAACTTTTGTTTTTTCCTGCATCTAGTGAATGAGTGTGAAGATATGTCGGCAACAGGGCACTCAAGTGCATTTACATAGTACGTTCACTGCACCTTTCCACCATGTTTGATATATTATATAGTATATATAGTCGAATGTCACGTCCGAGTCCCTCATGTTGTTTTAAAGTTGACCGGGGTAAATATTGTCTATCAAAGCCCAATTTAGTCAAATGTTAATTTTGTTTACCATTACGGTATATTAAATTTATTAAAATAATTCCCTCACTACTTCACTGGCGCCACATTTTCTAATCAAAGTCAAAGCAAACCCCTAAAACCAACCTGGCCTTTCACCGCCCCCACGGGCCTTCTGGTGGGCAGTATTGCCCACTTTGAGACCTACTGAGTTAGAATCAATTTTGGCCTGTCATCATTATGGCAACTTACACTGTAAGGTGCAAAATAAGGATTTTCTGTTACCAGTTACCAAATGGTGTGGTTAAGTTAATAAGAGTATCATGGTATGGTTAAGTTAATAAGATTATCGCCATCTAATGTGCCAGGGTTCAAAACTTTTACTTTCTAAGAGTGAAACATCATCAATAGCAATCTGCATCTGCTACAGACCTAGCAATCTACATCTGATACGGGCCTTACAATCTTGATCTGCTACAGACAGGCCTATCAATCTGCATTTGCAGAATCTATAAAAAAAAATATTTCAAAAAATGATTCTTCAAAACTATTACTATTAATTAGACTAAATTAAAACTGATTCAAACAGTAAAAAGTAGAAAATAATTTACAATTTCTTAAAATGCATTATTTATGCAAAGAAAGACTGTGCAGCAATGTAGATGAGCTCATATTCAAACATATGACTCATTTGTTTGAAAGTACTTCATCACAACAAGAACAATGATTTTAATCAATTAACTTAATAAATTGTAAAGAAAATCATAGAACTTTTTCTTAGTTCAGTTTTCAGATATTTATTTTTAAAATGTTAAACTCAAACTAAACATATTTGAAGTCAAGACCATGTTCATGGGTCATTCAAATGATATTATTTTTCCACAGCAAAGACGAGAACATTAAAAATATACAAGAATGCAAGTTTACATTTTCTACTATTTACATTTTCCCGTATCCGGAAATTTGATCGACAGAAATTTCGTCGACGGTAAATTGGTCGACGGTAATATGATCGAACGGAAATTTGGTCGAATCTTCTTTTCAATTTTTACGTTACAATTTTGAATCAAATTTCTATTTGAACTAATTATTTTGTTTTACTAAATATTATAGTGCGTTAAAAAAGAAATTTGACGAAAATTTTAACGTGCGAACAGAAAAAAAGATTCTTACCAAATTTCCGTTCTATCAAATTACCGTCGATCAATTTACCGTCGACGAAATTTCTTTCGATCAAATTTCCGGTAACCACATTTTCCGGTTCCAAATTGATTAAGAATTTTTTGCTGTTCCGTTATATTTTTTTTTAAAGTACAGTACCTATGATGTTTTATGACTTTTTTTTTTAAAAATGCACATCTTATTTTTCATATTAATTTGTTAAGTTACGCAAGGCTGCATAATATAAGTGTTGTTCTTATCACTGAAGTTATTGAAGTCTGCCATCAAAGTCAGCTATCCATATCTCACACACGTTTCTGTGTCCAGTTGATACAAAATTACGTTTCGCTCTGTGTTCCGTGTTAGTAAAGAAGGAAAGAAGAGGATGAAACTCTCAAAT